TTTGGGATTTAGGGGATATAAAAATCCTGCATGACGAAAAGCACCCAAAGACCTAGGGAATTATGCCTTTATTCTACAGCCATCTAGATTTTGGGGTGTAGGGCAAAACTGAAGGGCCTAGCCGTGAATCTGTCAATCCCGAGCCTGCCTTAAACCTTAAACCCCAAACCCTTAGCCCTAAACCTTTAGCCTTAAACCCTACGCCCTAAACCTTAAACTCACGCCCGAAGCCTTAATCCCTGAACCCGAAGCCTGAAACCGAAACCCTACATGTCTGGCTTAGGACGACCTAGATTTTGCTGATGGCCTCAAGACAGGAACTCTGGAGCTTAGTGCTTCGTCCTTTGAGTTTACAATTTACGGTGCAGGATTTAAGGTTTAGGGACTTGGGCTTTAGGATTGAGAGCTTCGGGCTTAGGGTTTAGGGAGTTTAGGATTTTGGATTTCATTCTTTTTACGTATGGAGTTTCGGGTTCTGGGTTTAAGGTTCAGAGTTTCAGGGTTCAGATGTTGTTTTAAGGTTTTAGGTTTCAGAGCTTTGGGTTTGCGTGGTGTTTCACGGTAAAAAATGGGAGCTTCCGTAGATGATGGGCCCTTATGGTTAGTGCCAATATCCCGAAACCTTAAACCCTAAACCATAATGTTTTGAGGGGATGTATGGGGTCCCATTTTCTGTGGGGAAGCCCTTGGCTCTCTAGGGCTTAGCTTTTCTTGCGTGTTGGTTGAAGGGCTGGGCGTTTGGTCCATCGTAGGTCGAAATTTGAAGTGTAAAGGGAGCATGCGTAGTCCTTGTAGCATTTATATTCTGTCCATGTCAACGACATACTCATCCTTGCGTAGATTGTACGTAAGGACGGGTGTGCAGCGATATCCTCTGCCTTAGAGCTTTGCGTGCTTCTTCGATGGGCTAGGGTTGTGGGGATTGGAGGGATGCAGGACTGAAGGTTGAAGGATCTGTTGACTTTGCTTCTGGCCATTGGGCTCGTGATTCCGGGATATGGTACTTTCCCTAAATAGGGGGACTCTAATATAGACCCCAAAATGCCATAATTCTTATTATGGGGACCCCCCAAAATGGTACCCCTACTTTTGGGAAACCCCCATATGAGTTTAGGTCTATGGGATGGTCTTTAGGATTGAGCTTTTTCTGCATCAGCCAACCATCCAGGAAAGTATCTCTGCACCATCTGTTTTCAACGACGTATCAGAAATGTCGAAGCATTCGGAAACTAGTTTCCAGAGGGTTCCTCCCCCCACTACGAATAAACCTCCCGATTCTCCTGACAATCAAGACTATCCCCAAACCCTAAATCCCTAACCCCTAATCCCTAAACCCTAACATAGGTGAAGAGGGATTCCCAAGTTGCAAGCTCAAGATGGGTATGTGAATGTGTCATTCTGTTGATTCCAAACTGTTCTAATGCTGCCGCAAGGGGCTGCGCCATAATCCCTACATGACCCATAGTCTAAACTCCTGAAAGGGGATTATATTGGGGACTACTGTAAGGGTTACTCAGGGGGATACTAGGAGTTTAGATCATCCCTATATGACCCTCTAGGTCGGCAACTACAGTCTCTCTCCCATCGTGCAAGCATCAATTATTGTCTTTTTCAAGGGATGTGACAAGGTATGCAAGGGGCCCTTGTTTGAAAAACCCGAACCCCCTAAACTCTAAACCCTAACCCCTAAACATCCCTAAACCATAAACCCTAACCCCTAAACTCTAAACTCTAACCCCTAAACCATAAACCGTAACCTCTAAACCCTAACCCTTAAACCATAGACCCTAACCTCTAAACCCTAAACCTCCCGACCCACATGGGATCCTATAGGAGTCATATAGCAGGCATGCGGGTCCTTGCTTTGGGAAGTTCCCCTTCTCATATGTAAGGCGCAAATCTGCAAACTTCAATCCAAGTTCTAATTTCACAAGCCCCATCAGCGGTAGGTGCTGTGGTTCTGGATTTGGTGTCGTTGGGGCCTGGCGAAAGCGACTTGACAGAAAATCGTTCAGCCGACACCAAACCCAAAATACACTGGCCCCCCCAACCGTAAGCCCTCAATGGCAGAGCCTAAATCGCCCTAAACCCCACAATTCTAAAACTCTCCAAGCCCCAAATCCTATACCCCAAATGAGCCATAGTCTAAACTCCTTACAGGGCTATATAGGGGTTTATATAGGGGGTGATATAGGGGAGTATTATGGGGCTTTTAACGGGGATGCCAGGAGTTTAGACTACAGCTCAAATCTCAGATCTGAATGCCCTAAAACCTAAACCGTAAACCCCAAATCTTAAACCCTAAACCCTCCAACCCCCGATCTTAAGCTCAATTCCTAAACTTGAAGCCGGCTATGCGAGTTCTGTACTGGAACAGGTGCCCTACTAAGGGAGTTGTAGGGCAAGTTGTAGGGACTATATTGGGTGTAGAGTTTCGCGCTTTTGGGGTAAGGTTTTGGGGTTAAGGGTTTAGGGGTTTGTAGCAGGCTTTTTTCTCAGGGCCACACTTGTAAATATTCTCTCAAGGGGCTAGGGGTTTGCAACAAGGTGAACAGATCCGATCATAGCAAGTATTCTGGGTTAGTTGTGTTGTAAGGCCAGTCACAGGTTCTGCTAAGTTGCCTAAACTTCCTCCAAGTGCAACGGACTTGGAGTACCCTAGGGGTATTTAATCACCATACACCCACCCAAAACCTGCACCAACAAAACAAAGCAATACCCAAACCCCAATGTTGCACTTAAGTTATTGGGTATATGAACCCTAAAATCAAACTCCAAATACTTCATCCTTTTGTAACCACAAGATATTCGTGTATATAACCGCTTTAAGTGGGACTCCTTTTGGGTAGTGGTAGCATCAACACTTCAAGGTTGACTGTGCAACTTTGCAATGAGGAGTAACACCCTAAACCCTAAACCCCCAACAGTTTAGCCAAAAACCTCAAAACGAGCCGAAAACGCCGCTATTCTGCACACTTTTTGGGGTCCATGTAGGGTGTGCTTGGAGGGTCAGGGAGACTTAGTAAGTAGGTTAATAACCTTCATAATCCATATGATACCCTTACTTATCCCCGCTATTAACCCACATGCTAAGTACCCCCGACCCTCCAAGTAGGGTGGTAAAATGTAGGCTTCCAAGATACCAGGCATCAATAACAAGTTTCTATTCTATGCATACTCGCGATATGCTTCAGCTGAGTTGAGAGGATGCTGAAGGAACGTGCGAGAGTTTTTCCCGGGTTAGAGGGTAAGCTGAGAACCCGGAGAGGAAGTTACCCAGACAAAGCAGGGTGAAGGGTCTATCCTGACCCCCAAAAACAGGTAAAATAGCCCAACACCCCTCAAAACAGCCCAGGAGGCCATTGTTCTACATACTGTTAGGGTTCAGGTAGGGCTTAGTGTTGAGTATTTAGATAGAATATACCCCAAAGCCATATTCTATCTACTTAAAGGGGACTCTAGGGGTTTAGGGCTTGTGGTTTAGGGTCTAGGTCCCTACACCCAAACCCTAAACCCACGGCTTACCCGGACCTTGGATGTCCATCCTGCTTTGGGAGCTTCTACACGTCTTAGGGGTTTAGGGACACAACTGCTAGGGCTTTGGCTCCCACGTACCATTCAGATTGTAGTGTTTGGTCCTTAAACACCATTAGTTGAGTCCTTGGCCCCTGAGGGAGCTTCGTCCCCTGAACCTAAGCTGCACCCCTAAACCCTAAACCCAAAATCCTAAACCCTAATGTAGACCCCTGGACCGGGCCTGATGACTTAACCCAGACCCAACCCTAACCCCTTAATAGGGGCTTATGGTTTAGGATTTAGGGTTTGGGGTTAGGATTTAGGGCTCAGGGTTTAGGGTTCAGATTCAATATAAGCCCCTTCCCATTAAAAGGGATTATAGACAGGGATCCTAATTTTAAGGCCCTTAAAAGGAGGGGGCTCATTAATCAGGGCTCTACATTAAACCTACCTTAAACCTTACCATCCTGAGCCCTAAAAGGTATCGACTTGCTGAAGGCTGTGCAGAAGGATGACGTGTCAGCGGTGGAGGAGATGTTGACGGCTTGCACTTTCCCCAAACCCTAGCGTTTAGGGGTTAAAGGGTTTAGGGGTTTAGGGTTTAGAGAGGGCTACTTAAGGGTTTGCTTGGGTATGTGAGTTTGGCAAGTTCAGCTTGGCCGCTGAGTCGGTAACCTTCGACTTTCTGATACTTCCTGGAGCAATCCTGTATCCTACTGCGGCTCGTGCACATGGATTCTTGCACCCTGAGTCCTCCAAGTCCTTTGGTTTGAAGTAATCTGCCGCTATGCAGATTATAGTGAGAAGCTTAACATTCCTTGGGCTAGGGAACTTAGCAGTCAGGTTGGCGACCATGGCAGAGTGGTAATCACCCTAAACCTAAAAACCCTAAGCCTAAAAGCCCCAAACCCTAAACCCCAAACCCCTAAACCCTAAGTTTACTTGCGATTGTTGAGGGTTCGAGTTTGGTAGAGCTTCGTGGATTGGTGCCCAGACTAACATAATAGAAGCCCAAAATGGGCTGCATAAATTGTTTGGGGGCTCATGGTTGAAAATCTGATTAAGGTTTAGGATGAAGGGCTTAGGGTTCAGGGACTGACCCGAACCCCCTCCAAAAGGGGCCGTCGATGGAGAGTCTATAAAAAGTATATCTGCATGTACTTGGAAGCAGTGGGTTAAATGCTTCAGGTATATAATCCCCCAACTAACATGGAAATTCACGCGAACTTCCTGTAGATGTGGGGCTATATTCTGTCAATCCCCTCCCAGTAATAGCCCCAAGGTGGTGTAAATGGCACGTTTATATACCTACAATAGTGCCTCATGGTACCCATGAGTGGGTGGCCGATTGACCTGCCCCAAGGGCTCAAGATAGAAATTTTGGTAGAAGCTAAACCCTAAGAAGTCGTGAAGATGAAAGGAAGGCTGCAAGGTACAAGCACGCAAAACCAACTCTGAGCTGTTTTGGCCAGGATTTTCTGCAGATGCCAGCTGATCCCGAATCGTTTGTCGCGGAGAGCATCTCGAACAAACTTCGCTGGGGCTTAAACCCTAAACCCTAATCCCGAAACTGCTTTTAGAAAGGGTTTAGCATTTAGGCCTCGGGGGCTTCGGGTTCTGGGTGTACGGTTTAGGATTTAGGGTTCAGGCTTTAGGATTCCAAACAAAGGGTTGAATGACAACACTAAAATGTTGGCCCTCGAAATGTTGAACCCTCAACCTGAATAATTAATCAACGCTAAGCCTGAGCCCCAAAATTATGTAGAATAATGGTTTTTTGGGCTATTTTCAAGGGTTTGGTCCATTATTTCACCTACTCTTGGGGTCCAGGTGGGCCTATACACTGTAAATGTACAACCCGAAGTCCTAGAGCTTATCCCCTAAGTCCTCGCACGCCTCAGCCCGAGCCCTAAGCCCTGAACCCTACCTGGACCCTGGATGTCCTACCTTTTTGAGGATATACCTTATGAATATGTAGGACAGAACCCTAAAAAGGAAGGACATCCAGGGTCCAGGTAGCCCCTATAATCCCCATAATCCCCTATATAGACCTAGATAACCCTTGATAGTTTCCATGTTCTTTTCCATTATCCCTATCTTATCCAAGCAGTCCAGGCATGGAGCTTCAAAGCACCTCCACCTAAGTCCTGAGCTTCAAGGTTTCCTTTGAGTCCAAGCCCTTACCTAAACCACCAAAACTCTGTGAAAGAAGGGTTTTGGGTTGAGTAGCCCCTCAGTAACAGCTGGATAATAATTACAATATGGTTATATATAGCTTTTAATTGGACCCCTAATATAGACTTTTACTGGGGCGGGGTGGGCAGTACCCAAGTTTTGGGCAATTGTGTAGGGTGTTTGGGCTAGGGTAGTTCACCTACCTTTGGGGTGTAGGCAATCCCAAGCTCTAAATCTCAAACCCTTACAGTTTAGTGTTTAGGCTCCACATCTCTAAATCCCAACTAAGTCCTAGTCGACGGAGGACATCTTGCACCATTTTGGGCCTGTGAACTATTGTAATCCCTAGAGGAGTTATGCTTGGGCAATTTGAAGCGGCCTCACCCGACCTTACCTTAAACGAAGGTTTTATGTGGGGAATAGTACCAAAATTGCCAAAAGATTGGAATTGAAGTTCTAAGTTACCCTGATCATGAGCCGGTATGTGGGACTTAGACTTGTGCAGGTTTCTTCCATCAACCCTGACCCCGAAACCCTAAACGCGAAGTCCTACAGTAAGTCCTAGACCCCCTAAACCCTGGACCTCAAATAAGGAGGTAAAGAGGCGCCTCTGTTCGCCTTGTGGATCGCCGCAGCCAAGTGCCCCGACTTTTTTCCGTGCAAAAATGGACAGAAGGAGTTCTAGGGATGTAAGGGTTTAGGGTTTCGTAGGTTTTCGGGCTTAGGAATTAGTAATTGGGATGTAGGGCTTCAGGGATTAGGGTTTAGGTTTTAGGGACTAGGAATTAGTAATTAGGGTTTTGGTTTTAGGGATTAGGGATTAGAGTTTAGGCTTTAGGGTACAGATTCTCAGAATCCCTGTGAATGAGTTATGGCTTCTTTACATACAGAGACACCGGCTTCAGCATTGCTAAGCTCGCTAGTGATTTCGCGCCCTTTCGACTTTTCGGGAAAAAGTCAAAAGGTCCAACCTGTCGCAAAAAGTTGTACTTTTCGATGTCAAGTCGAAAGAGATCATTGTTCTCACCCAAACCCTGCACCCTAAACCCTAAAGAACAAACCTGGTGAGGTGCCACATGGACATTGCCAAGAAACTGCTGACAGCTGGGGCACAGGTTGGCAACTAAGGCTTTGTGTCCGCTTAGTAGGGAATAAGGATATATATATATATATAGGGTCTAGAGCTTAGGGTTAACCATGGGTTCCCTACCCCCCCCCCC